TACTGGAGGACTTATGAAATATGATAAAATGAAGGATCGTGAGGAGTTAGCAAAAATGATTGCTTTGGGTTGTCTACCGTTTTCTTTTGCTTCTTCATCATATCTTATTATGTATACTCAAAGGATTTATAATTATTTATTTAAAGGTATCCCTAGAAGTACTTGTAGATCTGATATCTTTAGACTTCATAGACAATATCAGACATACATACGTTATTTATTTGACCACCTTCCTTGTAGAATTTCTCTAACTTCTAATATTGGCCATGCTGTTAATGGAAATGATTATTTGACAATTACATGTCATTGGATAGATGATAATTATTGTATGCAAAAACATATTATCGCTTTTAAATATGATGAAGATCAAAGTCATACTGCTATTTTTATAAGTACTATTATTTGCGAAGTTGTTGCATTTTATAATCTTAATAAAAAAAAAGTATTGTGTATGTCTTTTGATAATGCTTCTAATAATAATGCCACTATTTCAATATTAAGACTACATTTGCAATCACCACTTGAAGAAATTTTTCATGTTAGGTGTGCATGTCATGTTTATAATTTAATTGTTAAAAGTGGTCTTGATTTATTTTCGACTGAGATTACTCATGTTAGAAGAGCAGTTGATGTTATTCAAGAAAATAATAGACAATCTAGAATTAGGGAATTTAAGACTAAGTGTACCGAACATAACCTTAACCCTAGATTCATGCCAGATGAAATTGTTACTTGATGAAATTATACATATTTATTTTTAAAATGTTTCTACAAATATAGATTGCCGATAACTGAAGTTGGTAATGCGCATTGTACTGATCCAAACCATATGTTAACAACTAATACTTGGGAGGCCATTAATGATGTTAAATGTTTACATAACTTTTATACAACTACTATTGAGTTTTCTGGAGCATATTGCCCTACTGTTACTATGGCTTTAGTACATATAACTGAAATTTCTTTTCTACTCTCTGATTTTAAGAAGAAAGAAAAATATAAGGATGTTGAAAAAATGCAAGCAAAATTCAAATAATATTTCTTTCCAATTCCTCCTATTTACTTAATTGGTGATGTTTTAAATCCTTCTATTAAGATATTTAATTATCACCAATTAATTAATGCTTTATATACTTATATGGAGATTAGACCAACTGAAACCCAAATATATATTGTTGTATGAACAAGCTAAATGATTATTTACAACAATTATATAATTATTATGCAAATATAATTGATGATGATGTTAATAATGTAGGCAATGTTAATTCCACTATTTATTGTACTACTTCTACTACATCTGCTACTATGGATGAAGATGAATGCCTTGATGGTTTTAATATTTGGCTACATTTCCTTCCACTCAAACCAATAGCAGGAACATTGATGAACTTCAATTCTACTTGCAAAAGCAAACAGAGCCTCACACAAAGGAATTTTCACCGTTGGCATGGTGACATGAGAATGAAAAGCAATTTTCTGTTCTTTTCACAATGGTTCGGGACGTGCTAAATGTGCCAATTTCAACTGTTGCATCAGAGAGTACATTTAGTTAAGCAAGACAACAATTAGGAGATACCTGTCACTTATTAGGAAGCAATGCTTTGGAAGTTTTAGTATGTTTCTGTAACGACCCGACTTGACGTTTTAAGAATTTACGCTCCGTTCAGAGACTTTAGGTCTCGAGCAGCTTCGCAATATGTATTATGACCCGTGGGTGTGGTCGAGTTTGATTTACTGAAGATTCAGAATTAAATTAAAAGAATAATCCTTAATTTGAAGCTTAAATGGAAAGAGTTGACCGGAGAGTTGACTTTTGAGCAAACAACTCCGGAATAGAATTTTGATGATGTCAATAGCCCCGTATGGTTATTTTGGATTTAGGAGCGTGTCCGAAAAATTATTTGGAGGTCCGTAGTAGAATTAAGCTTGAAATGGCAAGCGGTAAGATAATTTTGGGCCAGCAGACATGTTGACCATGAGCTGTCTGGTTATCCCCACTTATAATATAGGTATAGATTACTCATGATATTATTGTGAGAAAGCACGGGAAAAAATATGTTATTGATATTAGATGAAGAATACAATACAAGAGATCCTTATTTATAACTATACACTACATGAACATATTACTCATATTCCAATGTGGGACAAGACTACATTATATACATATCTGTAAACTAACAATTAACATTAATTATTTTTTAATATAAAAAATTCATTTATTGGGTTATTATTTATATTATAATCGATATTGTTCATTGAGATAAAGTGAGATTGATCTTTTGATAAGTAATTTCCAAATTTTGGATGCCTTTGGGCTTCTTTCTCGGCCAACTACCAAGAATTACATCATTCATCCATTACCTAACCTACACTTTGTTCTTGATTTACGCCTACTCTCTATCCCCTCTAAGTCCTCATGCATGTCTTTTCTGCCCTTACTTTGTTTGCCAATGCACCCAAACCCTTCTGTCTTAGCACCTTGTGCCCCCCATTGCCCATATAGCGACTCCAGGTGCAACTAGCCCTTTGGTCGAGTTNATTATTCACCCTTTACCTAAACCTATACCACTTTGTTCTAGATTTACTTGCTCCCCCACTAACTTTAAAACAACAGTATCCGTGATTACCAATCCAAACAAAAAATTATCATTCATCAACTTAAGTATATTTGTTCTACTTCATTTCTGATCTCAAAAGAGATGCTAACTAAATGAAAAGAAGGGAAAGCACTAGGGGAGGAGGAAAGTGGGTAGTTTTGCTTGAAATGCCTTATTCCCCCTTACATTCAATGGGAAATGTGAGAAAGAATAGTTTTGCTAAATTTTTATAACCATAGGACTAATAATGCTAAAAACTCAAGGGACTAAAAATGCAATTTGGATCTTTGGCACAACTTAAAAGGCTTCTCAATCACAGCCCATAAGAATACAATGAAAACAGATTGCATTGCCTTCAAGTTTAGATCTTAACAACTATTATTAAAAACAAATAATAAAACTCATAATTACAAGAAGAGATCCAATTTAACTTGGCCATAAAGTGGAAAAGCTCTTGCACTAATCAACTTGACAAGGTGCTACAATCACGACGGGTATAGAGAGCATGCAAATGAAGACCTTATCGTATATTGGCCATCTTCACCTTTCAATTCTGCATGATATAGCTATGCTCTTTATATCCTATGCCTAAAGGAATGTTCAAGGAAACTCTTGACGTACGTAAAGGTGTTACTACATGCAAATGAATATACATGATGCAATACTGATATGTAACAATTCTTTCAGAATTGATGCTTGTCAGTTGTCTATGTTTAAGGAAGTAAATGGAAACACAACCACAAGACCACAACCAACAACATCAAGGGGTTGTGCAGATGGCAGTTCAGATTAGAAAACCATAATCAATTTGGATGCTCAATGGGGGACTAGAAACAAGACTATGCTTCAGTTCTCCAATACTTGGTAGGTGGAACTAAGCAAGAGATTAGGTCGGATTAAATTTATTGCAAAAGAAGGAATATATATAGATATAGATATATATAAGTGTTTATTATTGGTTTGTGTATTGAATCATTCAGTTAAAACTGACTACGCCTCAATCCCAAACTAGTTAAATTCAATTAAATGAATTGTCTGCTTCCATTCTCCTCTATTTAAGCCTGTTCTATTTCACTACCAAATCATTTGTCTTGTAAGGCAAAAGTAGAGGTTCTCTAGATCTCACACTTATTTCAGATGAACTTACAAAACTAGCTGGGTCGGTTTTTTTTTTTGAGATGGAAAAAAAAAAAACATACCCAGTGTAATCCAACAAGTGGTGTCTGTGAAGGGTACACAGTGTGTACGCAAACCTTATCCTAAACTTGTGAAGGTAGAGAGGTTGTTTCCAAATATTTCCAAAAACAATTACCATTTTTGACTGAACAAGCTACTTAATTGCTTAGCAATATTAGAAAACCCAGAGCGGACATGCATAAATGGAGATAATTGATTATGGAAATATGCAGGATACACAACTAAATCAGTAAAAGAATGTATTGCATATCGTTAACATAGAGGTAAAAGCTGAACAAAAATATATTTGCATATTTCATATAAATGAAGGCACAAATTTTGCCTCATCTAGTAGACTAGTATTATCTGGTCTTATGACAACAAATCAAATGTCTCTACTTAATATTACAGACAACTTTAACTACAAAGAGGATGCTGCAGAACCTATACACTCAGAACAAGGATACATTACAGGAAATCTAAATGACTTCAGATGTATCAGCATGAAGAAGAGAGTTTAAAGAAAGGAACTTACAGTAAATTTTATGTACAGAGATAGCAGAAGAGAAATACAACTATCATTCTTTCCAAGTATAAGGAGCACGTTCAACAACCAGGTAATCTTGCCTGATATCTTTGACTACCCGAATCTCATCATCAAGGTATACAGTCTCAAACCTACACAAGAAGTTATTCAAGCCATCACTGAACACGAACGAAACAAAGGTAATCTGAAATCAAGCAAGAGAGTGGAGGAAAAGAGAAAGAAAAATAGAAAAAGGAAAGAAACAAATGTTTGTGACAAAGAACAAAAACCAAATGCGTGTGGCAGAACTTTGAAAGGCACTTCAACTCCGAAAAAAACACTATACTTAAATTTCAATCAGATATATGGGAAACTCCTAATATACCAAACATCACTTAGTGGAATATAAAATGTAGTTGATCAAGACAATAAACGAGCAAAGAGAAACACTTACCACCCTTGTCCAAAAGGTGGCAGAGGAAACTCCCAATTTTTTCCACGCAGAACTGCACTTGTGAATCTACATCATAGCAACAACTGTCAATAGACCATGAAATAGTTCCAAACTACAAGAAAACTTCCAAGACAGGTAAAATGTTCTCTTCATCCCATTACCATTGTTCTCTGCTGTTTCAAGAAATTTGTCAATAATCTGATCTCTAGTACTATAGCAGTTTGTATATGACCCTCCTAACTTCTAAAGTCAATTACACAGAGAACCAATTCGCAAAAAACTACTAATACGCCTTAACCCAAAACTAATAGGGGTCGGCATATGAATCATCACTATCGATTCTGCTCCATTTGAACACGTCGCTTTCGAATACGTGCTTCTTTACACACCCCAGAAAATTACCTGTTACCATTAGCATAAAATTCAGAGAATCCTATATTAAATTCAGGGGTGTCGCCATTAGCGGAGCTAGGATTTAACTACATGGATTCAAAATATAAAGAATAAACACACGAAGAAGCCAAGGGAATTCAACGTGTACACACACACACTAAAACAAATATCTACACAATATAATTTTCTGGCGAAGTGGTGTCAATTAACTTCGCTTGGGCAAGGGTAGTACTAAACCCTGCATCGTAGCCACCTTTTGGTGAAGAGGGTTCAATTGAGTCCCTTTCGCCTAAAAATTACACCAATATAGATTTTGGATTTCATACTTTTTTCTCCTCTACTGATCTAGAACTCAAGGTTCTGAGATTGGTTTCCTTTGCTAACCACCGGAAAACATGTATATATGGTATTTGTTCATGAAAAATTTATTGAAATCCTGCGAATGGATTTTAGAAAGACATTTGTAATCTTGCAAAAACATTTGTTCTAGTATTTTCAACAAATCCTTACATTTTTTCCCCAAAATCTACTTATGAAGAAGTCGTCTGATGTACTTTCCAAATACTCTATTCGTTCCAATTTATGTGACATAGTTTGATTTGGTACGGAGTTTAAGGAAGAAAGAAAGACTTCAACTTATGATCTTAAACATGCCATAATATTTGTTTGGTATAAGTTATACTCAAGGGTGTGCCTAGTGATGAATGAAGTGGGTTGAGAACCACAAAGTTTCAAGTTCAAATCTCAGCCAACTGTTCCAAGTCTTGGTGGCCAGAGCTATCCAGTACTTGTGTTGGTGGGATGTAGCGGTGAAATTAGCCAAGGTAAGGTCAAGCTGGCAGCCGAGGCGGACCTATGCTATACCGAGAGGGGTCACCGGCACCCGTAAAGTTTGGCAAAAACTCTGTGTATACATGTATATATCTTTAAAAAATAGTGATATATTAGTAGTGTGCAACCTTTATACAAAGCAGATTTTGGTTGAATCTAAAAGTGCTGGTTCCGCCTCTAGCTGGCAGGGACCTCACGGTCTGCTTACAAGATTTTTAAAACTTATCATCTTAAATATTGACATAACATTTATGTTGCTAGGATGAAAAATTTAAAATTAAACGTTTCAAAATCTATAAAGGTGTCGTTCTTTTCAAAAAAGTAACAAAGAATAAATTGGAATGGAGGGAAACAAGATGATAGAGAAATAGTCACACCTGAAATTCACACGTTGAGAAGAAGCAACATCAATAGTGGACCGAACAAAGAAGACTCCATCAGGGGGGAAAGTAATAACATTATTAAGAGTCCCTTTTTCAACATCAATAACTTGGAGAACATCACCAGCTTTAGTACCAAAAAAGGGAGCAGCAGTTTTAATAATATAAAGTTGCTCTTTCTCCGTAGTCCAAAGCAAACGCCAGGTGGCCGAAAGGGAAGCGTCAGTGGTGACAGTGTCACGTCCGATATCGGCTAACTCGTCAATTGCGCTGATTATTTCAGAGAGTTTTTGCGGGTCAGATTGAGTCTTGAGGCCACGTTCTTGGTCAGAGATAAGGCGAAGGAGATTATCCTTGGCTGAGAGGGATTGAGATGTGAGGGAGGAACAATGGATTTTGTAAGATTTGGGATTAGAAGGGAAGTGCATAAAGAAATTAGGAGTGGCGGGAAGGAAGAAGCCGGTTGCCATTTTTGCAGTTGAGGGAGTATAACTGATGAGGTGTACGGGGAAGAAACAAGTGGCACTAGTGAATTTGTGTGTGTTACTGTGTGTGTGGGGAGGTGTGAACTTGAGTTTTTGATTTTTTAGAGGGAAATGGTGAAGAAGTTACATGGTGAATAATGAACATACAAATTCAACTAGTTTAAAATTTGGTTATTTACTTTTTAGTTTGTTTTAAAATAAATGATATATTTTTAAATTTAGAAATAATTTAATTTTAAACTCTTTATTTTACTCATTTTATCCTTAATGAGAAGTTTTTATAATTACACAAATGTCATGGCCTCATAAAACTTTTAAACCTTAAGTTTTTAAGACCATAAGTTTCAAAAAAAAAAAAATTTCTTAAACTTCGTGTTAAGTCAAACTACTTCGTCTAAATTGAAACAGATGGAATATTATTCCTCTTTTTCTTCTTTGTTTTTTTTTTTTTTGGCATTTCTTGGTTTAAAAAGGTCCTTACTAGTTGAAAATATTTAATTATACTTAAATGATATAAAATATATGTTCCTCTATCATTATAATACTCCATCCGTTCCAATTTATGTGAACTTATTTTTTTTTTGGTCCGTTCCAAATGAATGACCCCTTTCTAAATTTAGAAACAATTCAGTTTAACCTTCAAATTATGCCCTTAATGAAAAACTTTTATAACCACACAAATACTCTGGACCCCTTTTTGACTTGTTTAGGACCGCAAATTTCAAAAGTCTTCATTTTTTAAAACTCTGTACCAAGTCAAACAAGTTCACATAAATTAAAAACGGAGGGAGTATATAATATAAGTAATTTGTTATATCAGAATGATCTGTCTCAGTTTATAGTTTTTAGTTACTTACTAATTTACTTGTTATTGACATGCACATTTATACGATTACCTTCTAAGTGATAGATATTTCTTGTGCAGGTATTTGCAAACAATAATATTTACAAAAGATTTGGCTTTCTTAAAAACTCTTATCATTAATTCTGTCAAAACAGGTTTCCATTTTGATCTAATACACTAGGAAAGTACGTTGAATGTTAGAAATTGCAATATGAAAAATTGAATCAAATATCAAAAATTATATATAAAAAAAAGGGTAGAAATAGATCAAAATTTGAAGAAACGCCAAAAATTGTACCTCCAAATATTCATGTTAATTTGTTTTTTCAATTTCTGTTTATTTGATAGAGATTAAGGTTGTGTTTGGTACGAAGAAAAATATTTTCCGGAAAATATGTTTTAATTTTCCCATATTTGGTTAGCTTAAATATTTTGGAAAATATTTTCATCATAAACTCATTTTCCTCCAATTGGAAGAAAATATTTTCCCTATCAAAAGAAGGGAAAATANCCTACCCCTACCCCCACCCTCACCCTAAATTCTTATTATTAGTATAAAAAAAAATTATTTCAATAAATGAGTTTTTTCTTTTCATGATATAAAAAAGTATTTTTCTCATTATAACAAAAAAATACTTTCTTTTCATGTTATTTTTAAAAAAAAAATTATTTTATTTGATAGAGATTAAGGATGTGTTTGGTATGAAGGAATATTTTTTAAATTTTCAATGCTTTGTTGGCTTAAATGTTTTGGAAAATATTTTTCCCATGAACTCATTTTCTTCCAATTAGAGGAAAATATTTTTCCTATCAAAGAAGGAAAAATATTTTCTAAAACTCTTTTTTAACATTCCCCATCCTATTCCTCATCCCCACCGACCCACCCTCACACCCTCCACCCAATACCCCCACCCTAAATTCATATTATTAGTAGATTATTTTTTATTTCAACAAATGAGTATTTTATTTTCATGATATAAAAAAATAGTTTTTTTATTATAACAAAAAAATACTTTCTTTTCATGACGTAGAAAAAGTATTTTTTTTCATTTTAACAAAATGATGTCGTAAAAAGTATTTTCTTTCATTTCAACAAAAGAGTATTTTTTTCATGATGTAGAAAAAGTATTTTCTTTCATTTCAAAAAAAATAAAATTCTTTTCATGATGTAGAAAAGTAATTATTTTATTTCAATAAAATGAGTACTTTATTTTCATGTTGTAGAAAGAGTACTTTATTTTTCAACCAAAAAAAGAGTATTTCCTTCTTTGTTATGGAATACAAATTTCAACGTTGTTTTTGCATAAAAAAGTGAAGCAACACATTAGTTCCTTTGGTTTTGTGCGATTTTTTAGAAGAATAATTAAACTCTTGAAGAAAATAGTATCCTGAAAACATTGGGAGTGGGGGTGAGGGGGAGCAAGGAAACATGTGGATTTTGGGAAAGGGGGTGAGGAGAGTAGCATAAAAGAAAAATATTTTATACTCTCTAACCAAACACTAAAAAATATTTTTCGGAAAATATTTTTCACTCACCAACCAAACAAGGAAAAATAAGTGAAAAATCACTTATTTTTCATGAAAATATTTTCCATGGTACCAAACATACCCTAAAAGTATTTATTTTTGACAAACTTAAAAGTTCAAAATTGCTCTACCCCAAACTTAATGGACCATTTTTGTTATTTTTCTCGTACAAAAAACCCATAAACACAAATCTCCGTGATTCCCTCTATAGGAAATTAGAAATCCTCAACCCCTTAAATCCTTGGGCTATAGAATTCTTCTGATTCAATTATATCATCAAATGGCTTCAATTTGCCAACGCATCGTAAACAGAGCATCATCATCCGCGAAATACGCCATTAGAAAACCTTCAAAGTCATCTCAAGCTGCTCCTTCTTTTTCTGGATATGCTAAATCATCTTCTGCAATTCCTTCTACCTCACCATCCTTCAGCAGCAAGCTTAAGTAATTCTTGTTACAATTAGTCTCTTTAATGTATTTCTCCCTTTTCTTTTGGTTCTTATCTAATTTCCTTTTGTGTTGATTCCTTGATAAATGTTAGAGATTTACATGCCACTAGGAAATACAGAGAATTTAGTGCTTTTTATTTTGTAATTTTATTTTATATGTTATTGGACTGAAATGAGTTTAAATGGAAAGACATGGACAGTGAGGATTCATATCACTAACCCTTACTTGCTTGAGATTAAGGTATAGTTGTTGTCTTGTTGATTCCTTGATAAATGCATATGTGGGTGTGTTTGGTATGAAGGAAAATGTTTTACACAGAAAATGTTTTCCAGATAAAAAGAAGTGATTTTCTTGCTTCTTTTTTGGTGTTTGGTAAGNGCAGGGGTGGGGTGTTGGGGATGAGAAGAAGATAATCAGTGTGGAATTCCATTTTGATATGTTTACACACACTCAATGTGAGTCCATGCTCCATTGATAGGCAGAATTACCTGCATGTGGGCTACTGCAAGTTGTGTGGTGGATTAGACCAAATGTGTGTAAGCTGGCATGGACACAATATATACACACAGATACACAAATATAACCCACCTTTTAGATCATAAATATATATGTGAGAAATCCTGAAAGATAGCAGTAATATAAATTTAAGTTTAGAACCCATATTTCAAAGAACTCAAACCGTGAACCTATTAAATTTAAATATTGGATCGCCCTTGTGTGTGCGCACACACATCTGTATGTATATATATAGGCACATACAAACCAAAATATTGGTAGAGTCAAAGGTCATGGTTGCGCCTGCATCGCTGTTAACAAGCTACATGAGTCACTGTTCGCTTACCGTTTAATTGAAAGGCCATTAAGTGTGCACTGTTTCTGATTTCTCTTTACCCTTTCTTATACTAATTGAAATGGTTCTTAAATTTGATATTTTGTTGTATGATATGATATATTTTGTATTGTGGGTTTGAATTGATGACAGGTCTCCATTGAAGCAACTTGGATGTCTTCAGTCCCTTTTGCCTCTGCATAGCACAGTAGCAACGGCCAGGCTAACTTCATGTCTGAATGATGGCTCGAGGAGTTGTCGAGCTCTCTCACAGGGTACTCTCTGCTGCACCTTCCCTGGACTTTCTGGTTTTGTTATCTTAATCGTGAGTAGTTGCTTCACATTTGATACTTTATACTTTTGAAAAGTATACTGTGATGGTCATGCAAGCCGTTTCAATCAGTTGTCATTATTTCATTTTGTGTACAGAAATTGTAATTCATCAACAGAAACCATGTGAAGTATAGGAAGAAAACATAGAAGGAGGGGTGATGGGAAATACTTGCACCTATAAGCGAAAGTACATGACATGTATCTTTCACATAAGGTTTATCAACCAACGGCTAATTAATATGTGTCATTACCTCAGTTTGCCATTTAATTGTGGTAAATTAACTTTGTTTGGTGTATGCATTGGGTCTGGGTAAGTTTCTTTTTCATATCCTGAATGCTTATACTTATGGACTCACGATGGGTATCTGAGTTTAGTGAATCATCTGAAATCCTGAAATTCGTGTTAATAGAAACAAGGCTCTAAAGGAAGTGCAGTTGGACTGTGAAATGAACTTTGACTGTTGGCTAATTACTGGTGATACATATTGGACTTTATTTGGTAATCTACAGATGTTTGCTGCAAAATCTTAGAACATCAGTTATGCTCCTTGCTCCTCATCCATATCAAGCTACCCAACATTTTCCATGTTGAAAGTTTGTGCCTATAGTGTTCTAAGCTTTGACTACTAGGGATAGTTTGATCAAAATTTCAGTTTGAAAAAAAAAGCATAGCATTTGAGAGTAAAGATTAGAAAAATGTTGCCCTCAAGGGCTTTGTTTCAATGCCAAAGGTAGCACGGTGTGGTATTTGTGGTAGGCACATATTATGAGTCTGAATATAAGCTGGTGAACCAAATATGACATTTAGGTAGAGATGGGTATGGGAGAGCGCATTTATAAAATAAAGAAAAGTTAGAAAGTTTTTTTGCTTACCTTTCAAAAGAATGTTCAAGCGTATATTGCGCTTCATTGGTGAAACTCTAACAGTTCCCTATGAAGGATAAATCTTTTGACACTCCATTATTAACATAATTAAAGTTTCTCCTGATGCATTCTGTACAACCTCTTGATAGATGTATGCATAAAATCGGTATTAATTTATAAAATAAAATAAGATAAAAAGGATACATGCATTAACTCAAAGTTGTTGAGGATGGTTTGAACTCAGCTTGGAAGCAGGTAATGGCATAAGTTCGATGGTGCTTCTATGCTAATTGTTCTTGGCTAATGTGATGTTTAGATAAGACGGATATCTGGATTAAAATGGAAATGAGAGGTACTTGACAGTTTAATCTTTATTTGTCGAAACAACATTCTGAATTCTCAAGCATCAATGATGGATCAAAGATGAGCCCCTTAACAAATTGTCTAGCACCTTAGAAGCTATGTTGCTCGGACTCTCCGAAATATTACCAAGTGCGTGTCAAATTCTCCAAAAGTAATGTAATTTTTGAGGATCCGACACGGGTGCGACAACATTTGGAGAGTCCGCGCAACATAGCTTAGAAGTATTTAAAGGTATTTAACTGCAAGATGTAGCATGCTGCTTGCTTCAATATTTTATTGCATGTCGCCCTTTTCATTCTGGTGTTTTGAGCTTATTTTGATATGAGTCCATGTTTTGGATAAACACATCTAGCCTAAAGCTTGTGTTACATACTCCTAATAGTCGATTTGAGCAAATTAAACAAATTTTACAGCAGTGGTATATTCCGCCATCCTCCATCCTAAGCCCCAAACCCAAGAAATTCTATCCCTTCAAGTAGCTCTTGGAATTTAATTTCTAGTTGGAGGTTTTTATTAGATTCTACGGCGTGGGGAAGTGTTTACGGGGGACTGGTGGAGGGGCATCAGAGGAAGAGAATCCCATGGGGTTGTCAATTTTTGTTTAATTAACAAAAACTAAATGCCAGAAATAATGTTTTAAAAGGCGTTTTTGGGCGAGGCACATAAAAAACGCATTGAGGCGTACTAGCGGGACGCAAGTATCATGTGGTGCATGTCCCAACCTTTCGGGCATCCACTCATACGTAAGTCCCAACTTTTTGCGCGTTATTGGGGCGTAAGCCCGGAAAACCTTTTCAAATTTGAGCCAAAATTGCTTAAATTATTTTTTAAGTACTTAAATACTCAATTTAAAGTTAACTCATAATAATTTCCAAACTAAAAAAACTCAAAAGTCACAGGCCACCTAATTTCATTATGCTTTCTCTTTGTCGTTTACTTAGTAACAAATACTCTTTGGCACTTTGTCTGCAAAGCATGAGCTTTGTCCTTAATGCTTGTAGTGCTTCCACGCTTGCAACTTCCTTCTTTATGCTTCATATGTTTTTTCCTCTCTTTAATCTATTCTTTTCAAGTTAGTGTTTAGTATTAGAATTTCTTTTGGTATCTCTCTAGTTGACATATTGTTCTGGAGACTTTATTTTAAAAAAATGATACCCTAGTTCCAAATAATTCAGAAACTAAAAATGACAATACCAGAAAATTATTGTTTGAAAACCTATAATTAAAAAAGAAATCACAAATACTCATTATAATACAAATAGAATATTACGCTGAGGAGTTTCGTTCACCCTATTCAATGAATATAAAATTTAAAAAATTCATAATATTGCTAAATAATTTATTTGAGTTATAAAATATAAACTTTTGAAATTTACAAATAATATTCATATTTAGTCAACAAAGTAGCGGATGACCTAGCTAAGCATGAAAACAACAACCCAGTAGAATCTCACTAGTGAGGTATGGGGAGGGTAGAGTGTGCGCTAACCTTACTCCTACCCGGAGGGATAGAGAGGCTGTTTCCGGGAGACCCTCGGCTTAGAGACACTAGATCCGTAACAACAACAGAAACCAGAAAAATAATACCAGTATCGTAAGAGACAGCAAATAAATAAAAAGACAATAATAATAATAATAAACAGTGTGAAACACAACAAAAACAACTAATAGTCTTACACAAAACACTATCAGACTAGCTGGCACAACGAGGAAACAGTCTCGACTACCCCCTACCTACAACCCTAATGCTCGACCTCCACACCTTTCTATCAAGGGTCATGTCCTCGGAAATGTGAACTCGCGCCATGTCCTGCCTTATCACCTCGCCCCAATACTTCTTAGGCCGCTCTCTACCTTTTCTCGTACCTGCCAGAGCCAACCGCTCACACCTCCTAACCGGGGCATCTAGGCTCCTCCGCACGTGCCCGAACCATCTAAACCTCGCTTCCCGCATCTTGTCGTCCAAGGGAGCCACACCCACCCTCTCCGGAATATCTTCATTCCTAATCTTTTCCATGCTAGTGTGCCCGCACATTCATCTCAACATCCTCATTTCTGTTACTTTCATCTTCTGGATATATGAAATCTTGACTGGCGCCCTATACAACATGGTCAGTCTAACCACCGCTCTATAGAACTTACCTTTAAGTTTCGATGGCACATTCTTGTCATACAGGACTCCAGATGCTAACCTCCATTTCATCCACCCCACTCCGATACGGTGCGTGACATCACCGTTGATCTCCCCATCTCCCATCTCCTTGGATAACTGACCCTAAGTACTTGAAACTCTCTCTTTTAGGAATGACTTGTGAGTCAAGCCTCACTTCCACGTCCGCTTCCCCCGACGCGTCGCTGAACTTACACTCCAAATATACCGTCTTGGTCTTACTCAACTTGAAACTTTTAGACTCCAGGGCCTGCCTCCATACCTCCAGTCTCTTATTAACGCCACCTCGCGTCTCATCAATCAGAACTATATTATCAGCGAACAACTTACACCAAGGCACTTCCCCTTGAATATGGTGTGTCAGTGCGTCCATCGCCAGGCAAATAAGAACGGGCTGAGCTCAGATCCTTGGTGTAACCCATAACCACCGGAAACAGCTCTGACTCACCTCCCACAGTCCTAACCCGAGTCTTAGCTCCATCATACATATCCTTTATCGCCCTAATATAAGCTACCGACACACCTTTCACCTCCAGGCATCTCCAAAGAACGTCCCTAGGGACCTTGTCATACGCCTTCTCTAGGTCAGTAAACACCATGTGCAAATCCCTCTTCCTATCTCTGTATTGTTCCACCAACCTCCTGATAAAGTGGATAGCTTCCGTAGTAGAACGACTCGACATTAACCTGAACTGATTTTCTGATATAGACACGCCCTCCTTACCCTCCCTTCCACCACCCTCCCTTCCACCACCCTCTCCCAAACTTTCATGGTATGGTTTAGTAACTTGATACCCCTATAGTTACAATTCTGGATATCACCTTTGTTCTTGTACAGCGGAATCATCGTACTCCACCTCCACTCATCTGGCATCCTCTTCGTCCTGAAAATAACATGAAACAACCCAGTCAGCCACTCCAAGCCTGCTCTACCCACATACCTCCAAAATTCTACTGGAATCTTGTCTAGTCCGGTCGCTTTGCCCCGACTCATCTTATGAAACGCTCCCACGACCCCCTCAACCTTAATACGTCTATAATACCTAAAGTCTTGGTGACTCGGAGTGCCCCAATTCCCCTAACACGATTTTTCCGCCCCCCTCTTCATTCAGAAGTTTATGAAAGTACGACTGCCATCTTTGCTTAATCTGGGCCTCTTCCACAAATACACGACCTTCCTCATCTTTAATGCACCTAACTTGATCCAGGTCACTAGCCTTCCTCTCTCTCGCTTTGGCCGACCGAAATAACTTCTTGTCCTCACCTTTAGCCCCCAATTCCTCATATAGACGACCAAACGCAGCAGTCTTAGCCTCCGTGACCGCTAATTTCGCCTCTCTCCTAGCTAAGCATGAAAACAACTTAGATAATTTTGAAAGCTAAATGACTATCATGTATCCCTTATTTTTATTTTAACGTCGTATGAAATGATGTTGAGGTACTATGTATGCTAAACATGTCAACTATAAAAGAAATAACGACAAATCACTTATTTTTGTTTTAACGTCGTATGAAATGATGTTGAGGTACTATGTATGCTAAACATGTCAACTATAAAAGAAATAACGACAAATCACTTATTTTTGTTTTAACGTCGTATGAAATGATGTTGAGGTACTATGTATGCTAAACATGTCAACTATAAAAGAAATAACGACAAATCACTTATTTTTGTTTTAACGTCGTATGAAATGATGTTGAGGTACTATGTATGCTAAACATGTCAACTATAAAAGAAATAACGACAAATCACTTATTTTTGTTTTAACGTCGTATGAAATGATGTTGAGGTACTATGTATGCTAAACATGTCAACTATAAAAGAAATAGCGACAAATCACTTTTTTTTGTAGCTAAACAGTAAAAATTCGTCGCTAATTACTGATTATCAAAAACTTCTATTTTCTATGAGATAAGTGTATTTTTAACATGATGAATTAATTCTAGTGAACTTTTTTCTATAATAAATAAATTTTTGATTGTACAAGTTTAAGTTCTTGGAAACTTAAAGTGAAAATTCACAATTAACTTCAAAATTTTAAATATTAGTTTATCTAAAATTTGTGAAAACTTCGGTGTTTCAACACTACATTACCTTTTGTGATGCTTGAAAGAGTTTATTTTCTATAGGTAAAGAAAAAGAAGTAATCCTAAATATTAGGCCTTCTAACAAAAATTTGTAGGTATTGTGGAAATAAATAAAAGAAACTTAAAATAATTCCAAGTAATAATCAAAACTTAATTTAGTAATCTAATGACTTTACTATAAGTATCCAAATTAATAAGTGAAATCTTCAAATATGTTCAAGTAATTATTAGCCGGATGTCTTTTTAGAGTCTTATATCGTATTCAAATAAGGAAAAAATATAAATAAAATCTTACTCCATATTAAATATTAAAATTTTGAAATCCTAAATATTAAGAAATAATTAATGTCCAAATTTTAGGAAAATAACTTAAATTACAACTTTGTCCAATGTAAAATCTACTTCTAAAGGGTAAAAAGACGCACGATATTTTGCTAAGGGCCTCCGTACTTTTAATATAATATAGATATATACATTTCCTACTAATTTTAGAATATTTTTGAATTTTCTACAATTTTAATAATTTTTTTTTGTTATTTATATGTTTATATTATTAATTTATAAAATATTTAAAATTAAATATCCGTGGACTTATGCCTGTGCCTTGGGGCATATGCCTCACCCAGTGTTAGATAAAATGCCTCGCTCATGCCCACGGCCTTTTAAAATGCTGACCAGAAATCAGAAGGTGTGTTGTGCGCAACCTGATAAGTAAAAGATATAGGGATAGTTTCAGCCTTTCTTGTTCAAGCTTTTAACGAAGATAGGGAGTGGGAGTCTATGCAAATTCAAAACAAGAATAAGCGGTCGTGTGATTACTGAGTACAATAACTAAGGACTATAGTGAAATTTATAATTTTGGGGGAAAAAGAAATTTGGCTTAAACAATTGAAGAACCAGCCAACAAACAATGTCTTGGTTGTTTATGTTCAAATTTCCCTTCTTCTTCCCTAAAATGATGGCGATATGCTAATGTTCAGAATAATCACAAAAATCAAGATATGACAGGGGAGAAATAGTACTCAACTTCTAGAATTTCTCTAGAATTACAATGTAGTCCATAACTACGAGATAAGATAAACTAGGGATTCTTCAAAAGCACTCACACATCATCATCAAAAGTGGCCATTTGAAAGCCCATAAGTGAGAACGTGCTTTCTACATTGCATTTGCTTCTACAACACTACAAAATCAATAACGCCAATGATCTTTCTAACTTGCTGCAAATTTGATTAATAAATCGAGTTTGTTCTATATTTATCATCTTTCTTACTCCAAATGTTGAAAACCATGACAAAAACATGTACGTCGTGCACCCAAGTGTGGCCTAGTAGCTAATAAGGTTGGAGAAGAACCTTGAGTCTCAGGTTCAAATCCTAGAGGAGGAAAAAAAGACATTAGATGATTTCTTCCCATCTCCCTAAAAGTTGGGTGGGTAGAGTTACTTGGTACCTGTACTAGTAGGAGGTTGTAGATACCCGGTGGAATAGTTGAGCTGCACACCAAGTTGGCCCTGACACCACCGTCATAAAAAAACATGTACATCGTCATTAAAGAAACCAACACATAGACGAACTGTCGGAAAATTTTCCAAGATAATAAATCTATGAAACAAGAACCACAGTGACCGAAGCCACTGCAATGTGTGAGAACAATACTGTAATGATGTAGTTTAAAGAAAGAAGCAAGTCACTGTTGTGAAGGATGATCAAGGAACTCCCATATGATTGAAAATGGGGATAAAAGAATTCATTGAGATATGATTTTATGTTATGGTTTTTCATCTTGTTAAGAAGTTGGCAAATTTGTAATTAGAAAAGTATCACCTTCATTGATTCGGCTCCTTTTGAGCTGATTGTCTAAGGTGTAAGAGTAGGAAAATAGATATATATGAGCTCCCTGTTGCTTTATTTCTCAAATAAAACAAAAAAAGAAGTTCCTTGTTGCTATACGTCGCTGAACCTTCAAGCAACTCTTCAAGGGTGTTGTTGGGAGGCTAGATTGACTGTCAGTGTCACACTTTTATGACCTTTAGGGTTCACTTGGGCTAATATTTTTTCATCTCTAGTGCGTCATTCTCTACCTTTAGAAAAGCATGTCTTCCATGGGTGTGCTCCGCCCTCTTTATTTTAGGATACAAGTATTCAATGATCTCCAGAGAAGCAATTTATCATTTCTAGAATTTGTAGTTCTTAGTAGACTAGTAGATGTTTTTGTATTTTGTAAGAATATTGTGGTGACGGTAACTCCTTTTCCCAGATGGAGTTGATGGAACGTGAACGTTTTCTTTCTTGCCACCATGAAGGTAGACCCTTAAGCCTATTAGGTTCTGTTTCTAGCCCAGAGAATTTGGTCCGTTTCATGCCTTTGTTTTCATTCTCAAATTAAACATGCTAAGTATAAGTTAATGTACTGTCTTTATGTTTCATGCCAATCTTGGGTTTTCAATGAGAAGGGGTGTCTCAACAGTTGATTAACTTGAAGTTCCTATTGGAGTATGTGTACGGTCTGTTTGGCTTTAGTGGTAAGAGACCTATTTAAGACAAATATAAGGAGGATATATTTTCTTGCATTTGGATTATTGAGCAAAGAAAATAAAGAAATTGATACATGGCTTCAGTATTATTTTTTGAAAGAGCTTTCTTTTGCTTAGAATACTCCCAATTTTTGCTGCAAATATAGTTTACCTTTGTATATCAAATAACTTTCCCCTCTTCTCGTTCTCTTATAACTGAATTGACACTGCCTTAAAACTTCTCATATTTCATTCCTCTTTCTCTTTTTCGTCTATTCTGTCAATCTGGAAGATCTGTAACTTTTGGCAAAGCTCATCATAGATTATATGGCTTTGGAATTGATGAATGTTGAATAAAACGGTTCAATTGAAGTAAAACTTTGAAAATAATACACACCTCAAATTGGTACTGTTTGGCATTTATGTATGTCGTGTCTTTATTGCTTTCTGAAATTAAATTCTATGAAATTTCTACTTGAAAGAATCTCCTGAGACCAATTTTTTTTCCCCCTTTCCAGAGCTTGGTCTATCGGTCCCAAGGTGATTCCATGTAAGCCCTCCACTTATTATCAAGGATATCTTTGGTAATCAGTGTTTTATGTATCTCTGTTTTGGTATTTGTTGCACAAGTTCTCCGAAGCTTGTATAGTGTTCGTCCTATGTGAATCATGGGTTTGGATTGATTTCTATACACTTAGCAGGGAATTTGGTAGTTTGTTCTATGAAAAGACAACAAAGTAGGTGTTTTTTTTTTTCGACGCAACAAATTAGGTGCTCAATAGCTAAGTCTTCGGCTAATATTAAAGCCCCAACAGATCACATTCGAAGAGAACAATTAAAGTTCTTTATAGCCAGCCTTCCTAATATGAATTTGATGAATCTTTCTTTATCTCCTCCTTGTCTTATTTTGCTAGTTTTGTACTTCATGATGTTACTCTCCTGAATTCCTTTGAGATCCTACACATACAGGTTCAGATTATCCGGCTTATCTCAATTAGTTATTTCTTCTTCCATTTTCATTTAGTCTATAGTTGCATTCAATTAGTTGTTTATCACTATTCTGGATACTTGGAGAAATCGGTAAAATCTGACAATAATTTTCATTGGATAAACCTAGGGGTGTCGATAAAGCGGGTATGGGACCATTCCTCACTGCCGTGCAAAAGATTATGATGTATCCACCCCAGAAACCCAACCAGAAACTTGCAAACTTTACCTCTGATATGCCCAACCTGTTCTGTGAAACACCCCCATACTAGCCTCGATGCATAGACGATACCCTCTGTTGTGACAGCTCCGCCACGAGAGAATGGAGTATTTGTCCCACGAAAAAGAAAGGACAGTGTGAAGTACAACATTATATTCTATTTTCTACTTTGATTTCTTCAGCTTCCAATATGGAAAATAGACCGAATTGGCTGTGTAAGGGGTTCAAATGGGTTGTAATGTCCGTGGACTGCACTCATGTGCTTAAGGTCTTGGTGGAGATGTTCAAATTCTTTTACATGGTATCAATGATGGGTTTGACATAAAGCCTAGGTGCTTTGATCTTAAAAGACGAATTCGAATTAATTGGGCTGCCACAATAGCTCTTTTTGAATAGACATTTGAGATAGCATTAAGCCGAGCATTAAAACACCATGAAGTCCTCTACTTGTGGCCTTGTTAGCATTTGCATTTCCATCCACATAAAGACGAAACTTGAACAAAAAGGTGAAGGGAAAGGGGCCATTTTATTGTGCAGTTAATGTCAATAGTATAAGCATGAAAGATTAAGCTGAAAAGCTTAATATAGTGGCTCTTCATATGCGAAACACGTTCACTGGCTTGGTTATTGACGTGCAGAAGAGAAGCAGGAAAGTAGTATCTGCTGGTTCTGTGCTTCAAAATCAGCATACTTATACTTTTTTGATAATCGAGAAATCCTTGAAGATCACGTACGAATAGAAATCGGTAGATAATAAGCTTGCCACTTACCCTTCACAAATATCAGGCTCTTGTCTGTGGTAAGGTTCATAGTTTCATACTTGTGCATACGTTTAATCCACACATCACGTGTTTATGCTCTTGCCACTAAATCAAAGCTTGGGCGGTGGGGTGTTTGCTTTTCATGAGAGATAATTGAAATGTTAGAAAATGGAATGGTTTAGTTTAAAGGGTAAACTATGCTGTGGGGAAGGGAGAAAAAAAGGATGGGTGGGGGAGGGAAATAGATTGATAGCTTTGTTTCTCATCTTTTTTGGTTCAGATTGGAGCGAAGGTACCGATCTATTTCTTGTACTCATGTTCCTAAAAACCGTATAGAGTACCAACCATATGACGAACAGGACATGTTACTTTTCAATTGGTCAATTTAATCAAATTTTGATGTCAAATAGAGACAATTACAGTTACTATGTTATTGTACGTTTGATGGAGTTGAAGATTACATAAGAATTGCAGTGTATGTAATTTTGAAATTCACAATGTACAGGAAATTATGGTTTAAAATATCTGATTAGGCGATGCAAAAGTAAATTGTTAGCTTATTGGTTTCTTTAAAAATAATGTTGGAGGATAATCATGTTACGAAAGAAAAAGAGGCTTATATTGAGATTAGAATCTTACACCTAAGTAATGCTTATATTTTAAATTCTTATTTTCCCCTGCTTATAGACATCGTTTGCTTTCATGCCAAACTCAAATTAATAGTACTAGTAAATATTACGAAATGGCAGCAACTCATGTGGCTGTTTTTTTGGGATTTTACTGACTGAGTTCTCTAGTATTGACAGATCTAGACTGTACTTGTCCTATTATTTTTAATGGCAAACGGCAAAATATACCCCTGTATTATGAGAAAAAGTTTAAATATATCATTTGTTATACTTTAGGTTTAAATATATACCCCTGTCATAATACTATTGGTTCATATATACCCTTCTTCTCTTAAGTTTGTCCAAGGTGGACATTCAATCCTACGTGACACTGATATTTGATACCACCCCAGTGCCCCTTCTCCATATATAAAAGACTAAAATTTGGAATACAATATTTTTTATGATAGCGATAATGGTGGTAATAGTGACGGAGGTGAAGAAAATTTTTGTGGTGGAAAAAAAATAGAAGGGAGGGGTAAAATAGAATAGGAGCACTGAGGTGGCAAGTCATGTGACATCCACTTCATTAAATGCCAATGTCATTAGGGTTGAATGTTCATTTTAGACAAACTTAATGAAAAAAGGGTATATTTGAACAAATAATATAACGACATGAATATTTATGAACTCAGAGTATAACGAAAATTACATTTAAATATTTTCTAACAGTACATGGTATATTTGGCACTTTTCCGTACTCGAGGATTATTTTGAAACAAAGTCTTCTTTTTTTATGTAATTTACCCTCTGTTGCCTTGGGATTCTAACGATTACTTAAGCCACTATCTTGAAGGGTTATTAGGCAAGAATTTTGTACTCTAGTTTAATGTTAATAGTACACTATAATCGAGAAAGTTGCTTGTTTTCATAATTTATCCTAAGATGGAGGACATAATAATAAATTTAGTAATAATCTGTATAACTATGGCTTAAAATTGGGTTTGAGCAGCTGAATTTCTAGTGTTAAGCTCTTGCTGCGTTGGTAGTGAGAACTAAATGTTTTTATGTACTGCAACAATTGATACATGTAAATACCGGTGTGGAGCTGCCAATAACAGAATGAAAAGGACTAAGTAAACATAGACGCATTTACTCAAACAAATCAATAACCAAGTCAATGAAATCAAATTAAAAGGAGGGGTTTACTCAAACGGGTTGAATAGGTCAATTCATAATTAAATTGCTTTTTAGGATAACTGGTATTTGTTCTATCATTTAAACCTGTACAGTACTACTGTATTCTCTAATGTAATTTTCCAGCATTGGGATTTTAACGATGACTTAAACGACTATCTTTCGGGTGAGGAAGAATTATATGCTCTAGTTTAATCTTAATGCTCTATAATCAAGAAAAGTTTCTTGTTTTCATAATGTATCATGAGATGGAGGTCATTAAAAAATTCAGTAGTAGTAGTAGTACAATTGCTTAAAATTGGACAACATGTATATACATTTTAGGTTATCTTTTAGTAATAAAAAAATCTTTTGATTGTCAATATAAAAAAATTAAAGAAAAATAAAAAGGTTGCTCGATCGAGTTAAAAAAAAAGTCAATAAAATCAAATTGCTTTCTTGGACAACTGCTATTATGAATTGATAATTCTTTTTTCAAATATTTTGAATTGACTGAAAAAAATAAAAAAAAATGAAGAACACACAAATGCATGGCGGTACGTGAGGTGAGAATATTATACAGTATCCAAAAAATAAAATAGAGTATCCAATTTAAAATGGGGATTGGGGGAAGAGGGAGGAGTAAAAGGCGGCACATGGGGAACGCACGTGCCGAACAATTTGCTTCGGGATCAGTAATTTTGCATCCTTTTTCTCTTCCCATGTCACGTGCTTCAATAATGTTACTTCCACTGGCATTGCTGTCATGTGTCTGTCTCCAATATGGAACCTTTTGTTTTCACTACTACTCTATTTCTAAGTTGTTTATTCGGATGACCAGTTTTTTATATACAGATATATAAATCTTAAAATTGCTCAACAACTAGATGAGATGATAAAAGTTTTACATGCAAAGGTGTTTGTGGTTCAATTTGATTTGTTTTTTAGTTAAAAGAAGTCGAACCAATTATGTCGATTTGCTAAACATACGAACCAAAGCAAACAAATAGAATAAATTTTGTTAGATTCTTTTAATTTTAAATTTTTCGCATGAAATACAATTTTAATTTTAGTAGAGACGCCGAGAATAATTAGCAAATATCAAACAAATCAATGAAATTACTAGCCATTAAAAGATCTATATAAAAAGAAATTTGACCGTAAGACATGACAATGGTGCACTATCATAAATAAAAATAATAGTCTTACATCTAAATGCGTTATTTTTAATTTACCTAATAGCCTTAATAATTAAAGCAATAAAAAAATTACTCCTAAATAACTTTAATAAAAGAAGTTTATCAAACTTAACAAAGCGTCATGAATATGGTAATAAAGGAGTATAACTTTTTATGCTTAAAAACACATAAATTTTTAAAATTTTATGTAAAAACATGTAGTCATATTTATCGTTGTGATTTTTAAAAATATTCTTACAAACACATTTTGAAAACAAAAGGTGTCAAATTGGTGTAACATTAAAATGGAGAGCAGCAGTAGTGTAGGGGAAATAAAGGAGGAGGTGAAGAGAAATCCAGCATGGCCTAAAAAGCGCAAGCTTCCTTTATATGGCAAAGCAAACACACGTCGGATTATTATCTTCTTTGTACTTTTGCCTTTTCCTTTTCCTTTTCCTTTTCCTCGTTATGTGGTTACAAGGGTAAAGACTTTCCCCCATTACGCCCCAACTCCTCCATCTCTCTTTCAATGGGATGACTATAAATAATTAATCTTAAACATTAATAAAGTAAACTGAAAATTTATATCCCTCCGTTCCATTTTATGTGAGCTTATTTCCTTTTTGGTCCTTTCCATATTATGCGAACCTATTTCCTTTTTGGTTCGTTTAAAAAAGAATGATCCCTTTCTAAATTTTGAAACAATTTAGCTTAAACTTATAATTCTACCCTTAATGAGAAGCTTTTATAACCAAACAAATAATCTGAGCCCCTTTTTGATTTGTTTAGGATTACAAATTTTAAAAGTCTTCATTTTTTTCTTAAACTCCGTTCCGTGCCCAGTCAAACAAGTTCACATAAATTGGAACGGAGGGAGTATTACTTAACTATGTTTAAGTATCAAAAAAACTATATGCTTAACATATGTCTCGTATTCATTGTTTTGGTGTAAACAAGATAAGTTTTTACTCTTTTTTCATACCCTTCGGTCTCATTTTATGGAGATCATTTCTCATAGTAGTTGTCCCTTTT